CCCCAAAACCCCAAAACCCCAAAACCCCAAACATTGAAATTAAACATTCGATTTTTGGTTAGTCAAGAAATTCCTAGTTTAATTTGAATTAATTATAAATTTGAAGTATCAGGAGAATAATATGTCTTGTCCATTCATTAATAAAGATCTTCTAGCGAGATTACCTGATGAAAAGAAAGCAGAACTTGAACAATACTACAAAAACTTTGTTGAAAAAAAGGAAGTCATAGAGAATAAAGCAATTGATTAGTGCCCTTTAATGGATTTAGATGAAGAAAAAATAAACAAAGATGAGCCTAAGTCTCATTATACTCAATTGAGAAATAGCCCTGGGGGAGTATGCCCTTTTATTTCATCAAGTAAATTTATTTCAATATTAAATTCAAATAGAGCATACTGATCCTGGTCTTGATTTCTTTGAAGTTGGTCATTAAATTAAATACAAATCGAAATACTCCCATTATCTAAATCAGAGTATATTTTATGAATACTTGGAATAACCCTTAACAAGCAGTAATCATGATACTACTGTTTCATCGGTTCATTCTTAAGAAGAAGAAATGAAGAACGAAAATTAATCAACGATTCGTCCTAGCTAGGTCTAAGATAATTCCTCATTGTTTGAAGAGGAAAAGAAAGATGGTGATAAAAAGAGACTTATATCTAAAAAGATTATACTCAACAAGGAATAAATAAAAAAGAATTAAAAAGCTATTAGGAACTATCCTCCCATTTTGTTGCAAACATTATTTCATGATAATCCTAAATTTGTGAAATATAGAAAAGCTGAATTTTCTAATTTATTCTTTTTTTCAGATGAAATTAAGACAATGGGCAATGATGCCTATTAGAAGAATAATTTTTATTTAGCCCTAGATTTCTATGAATAAGTAAGTATGCTACATTTTTAATTGAAATTTATAGGCTATCTCATTATACAACTGGCTTGAACTAAAGGACAAAGATAATGAAAAATAAAAAATGCAGCTATTTGGAAAAGAGCCTATAATGATCACAGATAAAAAAGTATTTAACTTATTCAAAGTGATCGATGAGGATTGCGAAGATGAGCTACTAGAAAAAGAAAATTGTAATGCTTTTATAGAATTAAACTTTATATCATAGTGTTAAGCACAATCATTAACTTGCTGTAGAACTCTTATGTATGCTATATGAAATTATTTCATTTCAAAGAAGCTAAAAAATGTGCATCTTATATTAAATATCTAAAGCCAGAATACCCTTTGTCTTATATCTTAATAGGGTAGAGCACTTATTATAATTAAAATGCAGATTATGAGGAGATTAGATATTCTATAAATTAAGTTTAAGACGGTTTAAGATTCATATTAGGGGCTTGTCATGGATATACCTAGGCTGATATTAAAAAAATAGAGAAGATAATCGAATTACTCAAAATTTAACTCAACAATAGAATAAAGAAAGATTTGGGTAATATAGAAAAAATAATAAAAAGAGCTTTGAAGATTTATGGAATAAAAAAGAGTAAGAATCAATTAGAAACTCCAAGATAAAATTCATATAACTCAAAGCAAGCTCATCTAAACTACAAGATAGTGACTAAGTAAGGTTTTATAAATATTTATCGTGATTTTCTTGTATAGAATGCACTGTAAATACTTTGATTTGCTAGAATATTTCAGAGAATCTTAAAAACCAGTTCAAAGTGTTTAAGTTATTTAGGAATTCCAAAAATTCGCTTTAACCTATCATGAGATGAAATATTACCTAGAAGTTTTGAATTTCAAGAATATAGACTCAGAAGTTTTGAAAGAACTACCAAGTGATATAGTTGAAGCTATCAAGATTAATGAGTTTATCATTCCTATTGCTAACGATCTTAAAGAAACACTTGCTCATGAAGAATTCTTAAATGCAAAGTAGATGAATATTGAATTAATGAAATATGCTATGGAATTATGTGACAAAGAAGAAGAAAGAGAGAAAAAGCGTAAATAAAAAGAAAATGGAGATTGGATAGATGAAAAAGATGGAAATAGCTTGATTAGTTGGATATAAGGTGAAAGTAAATGGCACATGACTATAAACATCATGTTTTTTCTCTTATTGATAGGCCTTTATTTTTTCTTAAGATTCGATATGTGCAAGTACTTTGATGGTTGCAAAAAAAAGTGAAAAAATTGATTTCTTAATAATTCTATATATCATAACTTGATATTAATATTAAAATTTTTTAGATGGGGTTTTGGGGTTTTGGGGTTTTG